AATTGAGTATTCCATTGCTTGTGTATAAGATATCTTGCTTACCCATTCATAGGCTGATAGGCACTTGGATTAGCTCTACCTTTTGGCTATTGTGAATAATGCTGCTATGAACATGGGTGAACAGAGGAGGGTGAATCTTAACCTTTGATGTGTTTAAGACACCTCCAAGAAGTCTGTTAAAAATGCATGTTCTGAAGCCCCATACATTCCCATTGTTCAGTATGTGTAGAGTGGAGTTCAGAAACTTTTAAGCACTTCAGGTGATTTGCTCTGTCACCAGCCTGGAGTGCAGTGGCATGAGCATGGCTCATTGTAGCCTTGATTTCCCGAGCTCAGCCATCCTCCCACCTCAGCCTCTCAAGTAGCTGGGATTACAGGAACCCAGCACCACATTCGGCTAATCTTTGTGTATTTTGGAGTGGTGGAGTCTCACTATGTTGCCCAGGTTGGTCTTGAACTCCTGAGCTCAAGTGATCCTCCCACCTTGGCCTCCCAAAGTGCTGGGATTACAGGAATGAGCCATGGCACCCAGCCCGTACTTCAGGTGGTTCTGATGAGGATGAAACCCCAATCCTATGAAGCCAGGGTATAGGATTGTAGCCCTTCGGCACTAAAGTGAAGTCTGGCTTACACTCTCTCTGCCTCTCTCTGCTTGTTCTTTCAGTGTCCATCATGAAGAGGACACAGTTGGCTTTGTGCTTCTTCTCTTCTTTCCTTAGCACAGCTAACATGTTTTATCAAACAAAACTTTCTGAGCTTTTTTCTGGTCCCTAACATCAAGTGAACCTGAAGGGATTACTGTCCCGCTGTACCTGTAGTAGTTTTTGGAAAGTACAGAATGACCCTTTCAGGATCAGGCATGAGGAAGTCTGCAAGAGATGTGCTGGACCACAGTGCAAAGCTCATCTGTCTCAGGAACAGTGCTGCCTGCCTCTGCCATAGAGATGAGAAAGGCTCTGTTAAGGGAAGAATGAGACAGAATGATCAGTTTCTATAGTTAAGTGAAAGGCTTCACTGATTTGCTGATGAAGAAACCTACATGAGCTGAAAATACTAATGCTGGATGATGTAGTCTGAGAGACAGGTGTTCAAGGCTGTAAGCTATATCAGTAACCTATTTATCAGGAGGTCTTTGTCAGATTTCACAGTCAGCTTGCTGTGTGACCTTGGGCTACTTATTTGATTTTGCTGAACCACACTCTTCTACCCAGTAGATTGGAAGTGATGTTCAAAGGTATAAGTCTCTGTTTCTGAAGTATCATTGACTGAAGTGCCAGCTTCCCTCTAATGTTGGTGTGTACGAATGGAAGATTAAAGATTTCTAAGAACAAGCTCCAAATACTGAGAAAATACAGAGATACTGAGAGGTAACAGCCACAGAATCTGAGTGAGTGAAAAAAACACAAGCTGTAGCGGTTGAATTAGTGGTTGTAAGTTAGGCCATGAGCTTTAAGCACCCATGGGCACACACAGTCGTGGGCATGAGCGTCCTCATACACAGGTGATTGAATGAAAAGATTGATTCACTTGGATAGAAAATCATGTTTATATAGAAAACATTCTTTTACTCCAAATCTAAACTGCTAAATAAATGCTAAAATACTAATGATATTGATTTTGATCCTGAATATCTTATTTCATGACAAACTTACGACAAGAAGGCCTAGCATATCTGGTCAATGAAAGGCACTTTAATTTCCAGAACCTTTTATTATTATCACTATTATTATTTTGAGATGGAGTCTCACTCTGTCACCAGGCTGGAGTGCAGTGGCGCGATCTCGGCTCACTGCAACCTCCACCTCCCGGGTTCAAGTGATTCTCCTGCCTCAGCCTCCTAAGTAGCTGGGACTACAGGCATGTGCCACCATGCTGGGCTAATTTTTGTATTTTTAGTAGAGACAGGGTTTCACCGTGTTGGCCACACTGGTCTCAGAATCCTGACCTCAGGCGATCCACCCACGTGGCCTCCCAAAGTGCTGGGATTACAAGTGCGAGACACCGCGCCCAGCCTTCAGAACCTTTTATATCTATAATTCTAAAATTCTGTGTAGAAGTACAGCTGTCGTGATGACCATCTTGATGAATCTTAAGCAGTACAAGATAACACAGTACTTTTGGAATTACCAAGAAAGATTGTTTATTTGGTTTACTGGCAGTGTTAAATATAGTTAATTATTTTCTGATTATTTAACTTGATCAAAGTTTATGGTATATCGTGATTGTTAATTAACATAGGATTTACAATGTAGCCAGAACAAAATGGCAGCTTACTTTTTCAGTGTATCTGGAGAAGCAGGAGAATGTACAAGTCAGTAGTTCACGTGCCAGCTTTGCCCATTACTAGCTGAGCAAGGAAATATTTGAGCAAATTATTCAGCCATTTTCTGCCTCCGCTTCCTCGTCAGTAAATTGAAGAAAATAATGGCACCTACTAATGGATAAAATGAGTTACAATGTATAAAGTGCTTGGAATAGCACCTATTATATAGTAACCACTCAACAAATGTCAGTTTATTGTTGCTACTGTTGTTATCACAGCATAGTCTATGATAACAACACTTGTGCCTTGGCACTTGTGCCTCTCTCTCCTCATTTTAGTCTCAGGATAACACCGTAAGTTAAGGAAGGCAAATGTCATACATAAGGAATCTAAGGATTTCTAAAAAGTGACTCGCTCATGGTCCCAAAGTTAGAAGTATTGGTAAGTGGGGCTAGATCCCACATCTTTTGACTGATAATTTATCCCTCACCATATCGCGATGTCTCCTTCTCAGCATGCAGAATAAATAGGTGCCATTATTTCTGGCACACTGTCTCTAATTGTGACATATTCTTAGGGTTCCAGTTAAGGTTGAGAAGCTGAGAGCATGTTGGCTTCTGAGATCAAATATCATTTTACTGACCTCAAATTGTATACCAGTTTGATGATAGGGTGTTGAGATGCCCAGACTAAACATGCCACAGTTGACAAAACCTTGTGTGGATTATCATTTTTTCATAAGGGCTGAATCTTTTATGATACTGTTCAAGCTCAGTGACTTCCCAAATCATACTAGTAAGTACAAGAAGTGTTAGCAAAGGAGATGAGAAAACTGAACTTGTAAATGAGACCTTTGTACCAAATTCTAGGATGTTTTTCTTCAAAGCCTCATTCAGGGATCTGGAATTCTTCAGTGGGTTCTTGGTATCTTATGACATAAAACAGCTTCCCATTAGCTCTGGGAAAATCACAACAAGGATGCCAATAGGTCTGATATCTTAACAACAAGGATCTTGCTTAGATCTCTACTTGCCTTTCCCTAAATCTGGATTGAATTACTTGAAGTTGAATGCCCTAGCTCTATATACTGTATAAACATTAGAAAAGAGAGCTTTGTTAACACCAGATGGCCTTATCTGTAGATTTTTAAAATGCAGACTGTAAGAGAACCATATAAGCATTGTCCAGAGAGACAGAATGAAAGAAAAATACAAGCCACAATAGTTTGAAGTATCCACCTCTATTTTATAGAGCCTTGGCTCTGCTGATGTTCTTCAGCCCCAGTCCTGCAGTTATTCACATGGATTTTAACAAGAGAGTAGCTAGGGAAATTCAAGGTCAGATGTAGTCATTCAACCAAATAGTGTAATGACTAAGTTGGAGATTTTAACTTAAGAGAATTGCCTTTTGTTGTCTAGCTTCAATACTATTTAAGAAAATAAGTATTTCCAGGTTATTTGAGGGATTTTTGACATGGATGCAAAATATTAGTCTGTTCTTTTTCTTTTGGCCCTGGGAGCTGGGATGAAATCACATGATTTAATCATTTTGAATCCATGTGACTCCTCTGAGATAGGGCCAGATGTAACCAGAAGGATTTATAGGGTGTAAAAATCAGAATGGATTAGAAAAGCCTTTCTATGTTCAGCCCAACACATGCTAAATCAACGTCCTCTGAATGGACCAGAGCAATCTCTGGCTAGCCTAGTGAGGAGGTTGTCATGGCAACCAACTGGCAAGCTCAGCCAGTGGAATGTGAATGCAAACAATAGAGTGATAAGAGTGTGTACAGAGTAACATACTAAGGCTGCTTCTGCCCAGGTACAGTGGCACATAGGTGAAAGTGTGAGACTGTTGCTGCATTTTGTAACCTTCTTAACAATCTCTGGCAGCTCTTTTGAAATTTGCCAAGTGCCCTTTCCCAGATGTTGGTAAAAACATTCCTGCTGATAGATAACAGAAGCCATGGAAAAATCAGCACCCGGCTGATAGGTGCAGAGGTATACAAAGCCCTGGAGGGCTGTTGGAATAACACTACTCAAAAATTTTCTGAAGGAGGTTGAAGCAGGTTTAAGATAAATCTTATGACTCTTCAGTGCCATCTTGTGTCCCTTTAGATACTGAAAATTTACTAGAAGCCCACTCTCAGACCCATCATTAGGCAGCAGCAGGGCAGACACGGAAAAGTTAGAGCTGGATTCAGTTGGAGCTTGGTATTCCCTTTTACAGCAGAATATGCACATGAAGCCTTCTGAGCTTTAAATTGATTTTTAAAAATTAATATTAAAATTTTTGACAGAATATGGAAATGAAAAGAGAATAAAATGCCAAATAATGCCAGGAAAAGATTTCAAGAGTCTACATGGTGGGCTGGGGGTTGAGGGATGGGATGGAAAAGATGATAGATTTGGTGTTGAGGATTCTTAATGTTGTCATTACTAACTCTTGCAAAAGAATATTTTTAATCTATTCAGTCATGCTGGTAATGCAAATGAATCAGTAAAGAAAAGTAAAATGTGAACATCACCAATTCCACTTTTTAACTTTTGTTCATGGTTAATGGAGTGAGAGAAGGTAGCATTTGCTTCAGTGGCACCTCATGCCCACCTCTAATCTCTTATCTACACTGAACCCACCACCTACTGCTGTCTCACCATTAACTCATCACCATTCAAAGCCATAATCAAGTCCCATTTTATTTCAGAAACGTGAAATAACCAAGCTCTGTTTCTTCCAGGGTTTGAGTTTTTTGAAACAAGTGCCAAGGATAACATTAATGTCAAGCAGACATTTGAGCGCCTTGTGGATATCATCTGCGACAAAATGTCAGAGGGTTTGGAGACTGATCCTGCCATCACTGCTGCAAAGCAGAACACAAGACTCAAGGAAACCCCTCCTCCACCGCAGCCCAACTGTGCCTGCTAGTGTCCCCATGCACACAGGCAGCTCCAGAGGGCTCCAGCTGCCAACAAACAGCATTTGTAAATGGTCTATTAACCTTCATTTATACTGCCTAATAATTATTTGAAGGAATAAGTGATGTTGATGGCTCATACATGCATTCAATTCTTGGGAGATTTCCTGTTTAATATGTGGCAAATATGTGATCTTAAATTTGTAAGGACTATCCATCTATAAACATCTAGTACCTGCATGTGACTTGTTATTTATTTGTCTGCTAGGCTTTTTTTGTTTGTTTCAAATTTGTTCTCAGACTACTTCTGGGATATCAGACTATAATTTCACTATAACTAACTGGCTTTTGTCCCATTGATTCAAATTATAGCATTCACTTGTAGGAATGATGACCAAGGAATTTCATGTGTGTGTGTGTATGTGTGTGTGTGCATGCACAGGGGAAGATGTCACAAAACTTCAATTGCTTTACTCTTAATGGAAAGTCAAATGGAAGTTTTTCTCCTGATGAGGGATGCTGTCATGAGTCTGGTCAGTTTACTGTTGGGAACTGTGTCTTTATTTCACTGTTATTAATAACTGAGGAGATCACTGGCCTATAAAGAAATTGAAATGTTGTTTTGAAGATCCTTGCAATTTTCCTAAGTCATTAATTTTACCTGACTGGGGCTATTTAACAATAACCTTTGTTTACACATTTAAATAAGCAAATACCTACTCAGTACTGTTTTTTTTTTTCACTGATCCTACCCAACTCCCTGAATATTTGACAGCATCGAACAGACTGAGATGTATCTACTGAATGCCAGTTATGCAACAAGCATTTTAACCAAGAAGGGTGTGAGTAGCTCTAGAATTCCAAGGTCCAAGCTTCCTTATTTTTTAATGACTTGCCTCCTCCAACCCTCATAATGCACACCATTGTCATCACCACCATCACTTTCTGGAACCATCACTAACTCTGAACTAGAGCTTATTGTTTACACTTGTTAGGGCTCCTCTTACTTTAGGATGCAGACTTGCCTCCCCAAACATGGCCATCGTCCGAAACCTCAGCTAAGCTCTTTTACCTGTTTAAATGCTACTTAAATCAGATTTCAAAGGGTCCCAAGTTGAGGAAAAGAAAAATTTTAGTCTTTAATCATCTTTTTAAGTCCAGATGTTTATAAATTCCAAAGCATATTCCTATTACATGCATGGTTAAGTTACACAGCAAACATTCTATAACTGTAGTATTTCAATTTCTGAAATATTTAGGGTCCATAGCAATTTAAAAGAGGGAGGAAACCATTGGAACATTCCAATTTTGTATCACAAACTTCCTAAAGAACCTGTATGAATAAAGAGCAAACAACAAGTCCTTCCCCCAGCTGTGCAGAATGACAGGGAAACTTGGCCTCTGTACCACTGTTGCTAGGATTTAGGAAGGCAGCAGGGACTATCTGGCAGATTTGGAAGGATAGTTCCATTAAGTGAACCTTATCCTTTTTTGGTGGTTATGCCAAAGAATTTTTTTTCATATTTTCAAAAATAGAGAAGCTTCCCATAAAAGTATTGGATGTAAGTGAAACAGGCATACATCTGAAGATATCTCTGGAGAATAAATCCTTACAAGTTACAGAACTAGGTCGCATACATTAGTGAGTTAAAAGTTGGAAATTAGGGGAGACAGCATTTGGAATGCTTTAAGCATTTCCATGTTATTTCTCACCTTCCTAGTTGAAGAGCCACTAATCAGTAGTACTTTTCTACTTTGGCACCCTACGAGGCAAGCATTAGCATGGTAAAGACAAGAAAACATTAATGTTTTATTAGTTTTTAATGGGGAAACCAACTTTAAAATCACAGGAATTACAGTGAATGGAAAGAAAGAAGCAGAGGGCATAAAAACAGGTTGGTTTGCAGCAGTAGTCTGTTTGCATGATGTTATAATATTTCTGTAACTTGGGCCAGAATGTGGCCATGTTAAATGATATAGCATTAAGCTCACTTTTACAATCTAAAAAAAGGAACTAACAAAGCCAGGAAACCCTTCCCGTCCTCCTTCAAGCCCTCACACCACATATATAAATAGATGTAAAAAGCATAGAAAGAATATTTCGATGGCTTTTTCAGAAGGACCTTGATGTATGTATTATTGTAAAATGAAAATCAAAATGAAACAGTATTTAAAAGTGAAAAAGCAGAGTTTTGCTCTCCTGAAAACCCCTTCCATGAAGAACTGACTGCTGCTAAAATTAATTGGCCCTTAGATGGGAAGCCCTAAGCCAAGTGCCCACTTACACAGTGTCAAACATCCTGAAACTGAAGCATTTTATACCAGTCAGAGGAAAGGCATGCAACAATAGCCCACGTGTCATCGCCAAGAAACGTCTGATACTTTCTAATTTCTAAATCCCAATGGAAGCGAATTTCATTGATTCTCAGTTCTGAAACCCCCACCCTGGTTGGATTTCCATTCCAAATAATTCAGTGAGAAGTTTCCATAGAAATAGTCACAGAGCTCAAGAGAAAGAACGCTTGCTTCTGCTGTAAAGTATATAAGAAAAGAGAATATTCTCTATTCCTAATTGCATCAAGAAATCCAGGGTTTAATATCAAATTTGGCAAATGCTGGGAGCAACTCAAGGTTAACTAAGTGAGCTTTCACTGGCAATGAGCTGTTACTTATAAATTACAGCGCTATAGTTCCAAGGTTTTTCAGCCTTTTGGCCAACACACACACACACACACACACACACACACACCGCTTCATCTACCAACAATCTAAATACATAAACAAATGCAGGTCATTTTTATCAATGGCCTAAAGAAATTTATATTTTAAAAAACAAGACATTTTAAAAAGTGCATACTCCTGTTAGTTTGTAAGTCATACACATTTATCTCTTGTCTTCAGTGCAAGTAAACTGGTGTTTTAAGAATGAATTTATTTTTCTTTGCTACTCATTACCTGACCACTCTCACTCCTCTAAATTCCTTTAGGAAGAAACCTTGACTGTTTCAAATAGATTCTCTAAGAGCTTTGGTGTTGGTACCTTCCTTTCCTTTCCCAATGCAACTGAAAAACTGGACTGAAAATTTAATCACTTAAATAACCATCCTCAGATTGAATCAGCATTTCAGTGTTTGGAGATGGGGATGGAAGTAGAAGGTGCACGAAGCATCCTAAGATGGAGGTTTGAATGTTAGCATCACATCTACACGCTCATAAAAGGAACTGCTTCAGGACAAGGATCAGTTCATTGTTCCTGCCCCACTGAACAGCTCTGACTGCCTTGATGAACTTCTAATGACTGTGAAAGCCAGGACGTTCTTCTATTTCCTCCTTCTGGTCACTTGAAGTTCAATCTTCTTTTCCTGCCTGGTAACTAAGGGCTGAGATGTTTACTCGGCAAGAAAACTATGACGATGCCTCCAGTTGTAGCAGAAAGTTGTGGCATTGTAATAATAAAATCTACAAAGTTACAACCCAAATTATACAAGACATCAATACACTTGGTAAACAAATATATATTTCACCTAATTAAATCTTACTCATGTGAATTATAGGCCTTTTGTTTAGTACACTGGTTATTTTTTAAGGAACCAATTTAAACTTTCAATTTTAAATACATGGATGCTGACTATAGACTTTCAGGTATATACAACCTTCTTCTAAAAGTTAAATACATTCCACTATTAACTGAACTTCCATGAAGCAATATTAATTTTAGAGCATGGTAGTCCATAATCAGTGGTTCATTGTGATGTGATTTATCCAACATGTATTTTTAGTGCATGGTTGAGAATGTACTACGTGATCTTTTAGTTAACAGTGTGGCATTTGTGGGACTATATTAAAAGCATATCCAAACTACCAAGCTGTACCAAGCTGAGGTAGCACCTGCATGTGAAAAACTGTGATATGAATCTTATTTATAAAAAGTCTTAACTAAAACCCTTCTAGACCAAAAAGTTACTGTGTGTTTGTTAATAATCTTCATAGTACTACTGGAATGCTCAATCAGGTACTTTTGGTGTGGCATACCTGGGAGCTGGCCTGTCTGTATGAAGAATCCTTTCTCTCACAATTACAGTTTGCATGACTAGAACCTGGAATTCCATTCCTTTGCCTGTATGGTCACTTAGTGTGCTGTCTGGGTGCCACATGGGCAGCTACACCCATGTGGTCTTTCTGTCACTCCCTGGAAAATGCAGCCTCTACAGCTCTGCTCAGCTCTGCCTGTGTGTGTTGACTACTTTCACTTCAGTAGTTTGCCTGTAAAATGGTGAAGTCTTTTTGATATGCTGAACCTTTGAGCCAGCTTTTGGGAGTTCTTCATATTTTATGTGAATTTTTGACCAAAGTCAATTAAAGACATAACCTGTTTTATATCCTGGAATTTACTGGGACAAATTAGGTAAAAGATAAAGTTTATGACCAGAATAAAAAAGCTTTTACCCCTGCACTGCACTGTATCTAAAGGGCTCTAGGTTGTAGAAATACAGTACCCCCAAACTGGGAAAAACCAAGTTAGGGGATTTGTCTAAAATGTATCTCCCTATTGTTACTGGTATTTCACACATATTTTTTCTTAAAAACATTTACAGAAATGCTTGACACTCCAGTCAAAAGATATTTCCCTTTGACAGATTGAAATATTTGCTCTTAGATTACACACACAGTGCTGCCCTTCTCAACAATCACTCACACGCTCACAAGCCTGATACAAAGATATCAGGTAAACACTGATACTTTTTTTAAGAAGGGAAAAGTCCATCTATGGTGCTTTCTCAGTACTAGGGAAAAGGGAGCTTTTACTATGTTCTAACTATAACTCACATCTTACTTACAAGGTCCATGAAATTGGTTCTTCACACTGATTTGATTTGATTAGTCTGTGCACATAATTAATTTCCTCTAAACAGAGAGAATGGAGGGGAAATACATTTTGCAAACATTCTAGATAACAGAAATGAATTATTTTAAAACATCACTCAGAGCTCGAGTATTAAGATCAGACCATCTAGCTAGTGAACAAACTGAACTATTTAAAGTTCTCTTTTAGTTTTTGACTGTCATGAAAATTATTGCAGTTTTTAAAAACACCATCCTCATGGAATGACAGGACCAAGAATAGAAAATGAGACTCAAGTTTCACCATTTACTTCCCATCAGCAACCATTATTGGTGGAGTTTCAGTCATTACTTGCTGAAATGAGGTTTGAGGTTACCTGTGTATTTCATTCACCTGTGTTCATATTTTGTTCATCGTGGACAAGTGAGAGTTGGCTGTGGCTTTATTTCTTGATGCAAATTATTTTGCATTCATGTTATTTGGGGCTAGGTATTGCTTAGGTTCGTGAATGCTGTTCTTACAGACACAGATGGCACATGAGCCACTCAGACACCTGCCCTTTCAGGGACGTGAGCATGACCTACATCTGTCTAGTGGTTCCATACTTATTCTTGTAAAAGTAAAGTTTGGGTATTGTTTGCTGTATCAATATGATGGCTTTCCATGCATTATCTCATTATCCCTAGAATACGTGCTGAAGGAAAACTGTCCTGTAATTCCTGTTAATATATTGTTAATGTCAGATGTGATGTGATACCGTTGGACTGTCCAAATGTACAACTATTTAATGGTGTTTGTAGAACTGAAATGTCTTAAATGTTGCATGAAATATGTTATAAAATAGATTTGTTTTCTATTTTCAACACCTCAGAATTGAGGGTTCATGGGCCAATAAGTGCAATATTTAATGACTTACTCAGTGTATATAAACTAGTATGAAAGAGTGAATTATAATGAATGTGTGAGATGCTTTGATAGCTGTGTGACTTATTTAAATGATTTTCTTGTAGCTGTATTTGTCTCGTGGTGCAATTTATACAGTAAATATCTTATTGGTGTCATGTAAAACTCCTCTGTGCCTACTTCAAAATACTTTTTTCTTATAAAACCAAACATTTAGTATCTGAAAATATATGTCAATTTTATCTTTTAGAATTGTGGATTTTATTGTCAAGACAGAATGGCTGTTCATTTATTTTGTGAAAGCATCTCCTTCTATAACTCAAACTTTAAGTGTCATATAAAAGTGTACATTTTACTTTTAAGCAACTAATTTAGATACCTAAGAAAAACTATGTGCATTAGGAAAAGTCAGGTTTTTCTTCTCAGAAAGGTTGATCACATGATATGTCTACTAAGAATTTTCACCTCTGTATTTGTATGTATATTTTATTGCTACTCAAACTTGTATTTTATTTACAAATTCAACAGTGTCAACGCTGGGAATTCTAAAATACCAGTGTATTTCTAGGTTGTAGCAAATGTTGTATTCACTTTCAATTCTCAGTTGTCCACAATGGTGATACAAGAGGAACAAATCAGAATCCTTAAACACTTTGTAACGCCATCATAAATTCATACATTCATCCTCAAACTCCCTTGTTTAATGCTAATTGGTGGCCTCAAACTTCACTGAAATGCAAAATCAAGAACTTAGGCCTGGCTGCTGGATAACTAAAAGCTATAAATGTTTATGTATGTGAAATTTAAAGTAGAGTAAGCATCTTAAACTTCTATTTGCCATTTCTCTTTTTAAGGTAAAGCATTCATTTAATATTGTACTTTGTCTTTTCATTCAGTTAGTGGAGTAAGTCATGAAACGCTTAGGAAGAAAAACAAATTATGACTTATTCACTAAAATTGATGCAAGACAGTTAATTCTAGATGACCATGGCCATGTGTTCATCATATTTAAGCCTTCAGTTCTCTCTATGGAGCTTGGTTGAAGATTGCCATGTGAGGATGTGCCAGTCATATTAAATGGATTTGGTCTATGTGGGTGATATGTGGCCTGAATGTAACTGTGATAGACTGAAATTTGTTCTTAGCTCTCAAAACCCACTGAAGAAGTCAAGTGAAGGTGGGTAAAATAGAGGGATTAGTGATAACTTTGTGCCAAATTTTTTACAGAATGGAAACAGGTAGCCAACATTAGAATGATAATTTAAGGGTGTGATTGAATGTTTAGTTAGTTGTCACATAGTTATTGAACCCCATATGCTCAGTGCTGTGGGAATCAAACATGGAAGAGGTATGGCTTCTGCCCCTAATAAGAACAAGGCACAAAAATCCAGATGTATTCTAAATGCTAGGCTATGTCAGGGTTTAGGAGCACAGAGAATGGGGGACCTGTAAGAACTGGAAGAGTCAGAGAGGGCTCCATTGAAGAGGTCAAACATAATTCCAGAAATAATTAGGTACTGAGGAGACTGTGCCAGGAAAATAAGTGGGAAAGGCCGCAGTCATGTTTCCTTTGAATGGAAGAGGGACAAAGCTATCAGCTATAGATTCACTGTTTTTCTCAAGACAGCCGAACTGGCCCTTTGCAACCACTCAAATTGCCCCAGTTTAGCTCCCTACCTTTTGTTCTCCATGAGGAAGACAAGCTGTTGTATCATCATATTCCTCTGTGCTGAGCCACTCAAGACTCAGCCACGGTATGTAAATTGCTTTAATGCCACATTACAGCAGTTGCTTTAGACATTTGCCAGTGCACCACACCATGAGAGATTGTCTGACCTAATGCCACCCGGCTGATGTGTACCCAGATATTTTTCTGTAGCTCCATGTTTCCCGTAAAGGGCATTGGAAATGCACAGATGAAGATCTTCCTTTGGAACCAGGTACTTTTGGCCCCTTCTCAGTGACTGCACTGTGGAACTCTTCTTAAGAAAATATTGTAAACAGCTTAATGCTTTCATATAGTGACTGACATTTAGTTGAAAACTGCTGCTGCATAGCAAATATTGTGACTCTTCATGTGTCCACAGGAGATCTTGTGTGGGTTTAAAGCCATGAAGTGTATTCACATTGTGAAGTTTTAATTATCTTTATTGAAATTAATTGTGTAAAAAATGGTATGTGCTCTATTAGGTATTCAGTTTGTATGTGAATTCTGTATAGAAAGTGGTTTTTCTTTGAGTTTACCTTGTTTAATTTCTTGAAGATTACAATAAATATCTAAGAGACTATATTCCTGAATTTCTCAGCCTTAGTCTGATTAATGTTTTTTTCTTCTTTCAATTCATATTATTTTTCATCCTAGAATGCTTATTTCCATTTCTTCTTCCTCTTCAATAATCTTACGTACAACACTGAGTTTGAACTAAAGATGAAGAGTGAACATATTTAGCTCGTTGAATATCTCACACATGAATGTGGACTTAGGCACAGGAATGAATTCTAATACTTGTAATCTTTCAAGGTAGATAACTTTTTATCTGACCCAATTGACTGGGTTCCAGAGTTACAAAGATCTTAGCTGTAGTATCAGGAATAGCTCCTAAGGTAGTAAAAAGTCTTCAGGTCTGCAACTTGAAGACCATGTGTCCCTAAATCAGAAGTCTAAGGTTTGATGATCACTTGATGCCCTACTGGCACAGCCCGAGGCAAGGGCAGTCAACAGGGACAACATATGGATGGGATGTCTGAATGGAATGGGTTTCATTTAATGCATAGTGCTTGGTGAAGTGATGATTAGGATGCTGTGCAGGCTGTCCTTGGTCATGGACCTCAAGGCATGGGGAAGCACCCAGCTACGAATCTCTTTGTATCATGGCAGACCTACTACTAATTTTGCAATCCTGTAGCATTCTACTTGTGTTAACAGCACTGATTCTATAAAATTTCTTCCAAATATTCCTCAGGGCAATTTCCAGGACTCTGCACTGAAAATCGGTCAAGGGGGAAGGTTCCTGAAAGAGCCAGTGAGCCCCATGGGTCAAATTAACTTCTAAATTGAACTTGGTAATAGAAGGGTAATTTCCCTGAGTAGACAAAGCAGGTAGGACTTAAGAAACCAAAAATAAGAAAACAATGATAATAAATTAAAAGGTTTCCAGTTATATTATCAACAAACACTTACAAAATGCCTTCTATATGCTAATTTCTCAGTATCCATGAAAATGCATACAATAGAGTCCTGACCCTCCATGAACTTAAACCATTGTAATGGAGGAAAATGTGTAAGTTAATATCAATAAAAAAACCATAGTTGATAGACTAAATATTCCTTAATATGTATATCTAATACTTAAAACGAATGCTGAAAATTTGTTTCAAGAGCTCACAAAATTTCCTCTTTGAAATATTATAAAATGCATTTTTACACTACAGTCCTTTGCTCCCAGATAAACTTATGACAATCAGTAAAACTCAGTTCAAAGACCTCACATGTTTCCTGATTATTCTGAGGCTCTTGTGGCAGAACCAGATCCAACTGGTTTTAGCAGGAATCTGCCTCTACCCTATTCTCTCAAGTAATAACCCCTTAGCTTTGAATTAATTTTAAAACATGAAGTTACTATGTGGCCACTTATTCAACAGCATTGAGACAGTAGGCAGGAAACAGAAAATCTCTGTCACCTTCAGAAAATGCAAAGTCATTCTCTCCTCAACTTCCTAACAGGCTAGGAAAAGACACGTTCTAAATAAAAGGCCACAAAGTCTTTTCACAGCTCTCAGGGACACTCCACCTCTTTGTTCTTGGTTCTCCTCTTTCTCCTCTAACTTGTCAACCCCTCACCCAGTTCAAAGAAGCTTGTCTGGCTGCTCACCTTTTCTTCCTAATCTATTGTTAATGACCTGATCCTTTTGAGCTAAAGTTTCTCACTGTTTATTCATCCTAAATCTCAGGAAATTTTATTCAAAAATTATGTTCTCTTTTCTAAATATTGCCTCTCCCTTAAAACAATACTACTAAGTGGAAGAAAGGCAAAGGGTATAGAAAAATATATGGAAAGTGAGTATGGGATGAAAATCTGGATTAATATTTCAAAACAATTTTCTACCAAGCAGACAGCCACAATATAATTTGATTAGTGTCAATATAGAGGTTAAACACAAGCTATTATGAAAACACAGAAGAAATTAGTAACCCAGATTGAAAGCAAGGGCTGGGGTGTTCTGAGAAGGCCTACTAGAGGAAACAAGGACTGAGCTAAAACATACAGGACATGTAGGAATTATGCAGGAGCAGATGTAAGACAAGACTGCTCAAGCATGGGGAGCGAACCACAGAGTGTAGCAGAGCACAGACTATTTATGGACTTTCAAAGCCATTCACACAGGGTGATCACAGGATGAAACAAAAGGAGAAAGAGCAAGGGCTGAGATCATAACACTGTGTCGGAAATGCTTTAAATGTCTAGATTTTATCCTCCAGCTGTGGGAATTCATGAAAAGACTTAAGAAAGGAAGAAGTTTGAACAGATTTGAATTTTGGAAGATCACAAAATTGGCAATATGAAAAATGAATTAAAGTAGAAACAGGAAGAGTATTAGCGATCATAGTAACCTTTAAGTTTTATCTCTAAATGAATTGTGGAATGATAGAAATGAAGAGGAGGGAATACGTGAAAGTTCGATTAAGAAGGTAAGAAATGGTGACCAGTAAGATTCAGGAAGAGGAAGAAACCAAGGATGACCCTCAGGGTTTTGGCTTGGTTGATTTTGCCATTAACTAAGAAAGAAAGTACAATAGCAGCAGCAGGTTTAAAGAAAAGAGAATGAGTTCCAAGTCCACAATGTTGTGGATGATGTTTTTAGAGGACATGCAAAGGATGCAGTCCAGTGAACACCTGGAGGGTTCAGATCTAGAGTTCAGAAGAGAGTTCTGGAAAGTTCTAGTATATAGATGAGAACCAAGACTTGGGGAGTAGAGAAAATGACATCCAGGAGAATGTTTTAAATGAGAGAAGACCAGACAGAGAACTAGGACACATGATATTTATGGGCAGCCAAGAAAAACCAATTCACAAAGGAGACTTGAAAGAGGAGTGGTCAAAGGGATGGATGGAGAATCAAGTGAGAAGGGGACACAAGAAGCCAAGAGAGGAGCCAGTTTTAAGAAAGAAGGAGTGATCCACATTTTCAGATGATGTAAAGCGAAATCACAACTGCCAGTCACATAAATCAGGGAACAACAAACACAGGACCTACTTGTGGGCGGAGGGTGAGAGGAGGATGAGGATTGAAAAATTACCTATTAGGGTTGGGTACTGTGGCTCATGCCTGTAATCCCAGCACTTTGGGAGGCCAAGGCGGGCGGATCACGAGGTCAGGAGTTCGACACCAGCCTGGCCAACACAGTGAAACCCTGTCTCTACTAAAAATACAAAAATTAACCAGGCATGGTGGTGCATGCCTGTAGTCCCAGCTACTCAGGAGGCTGAGGCAGGAGAATTGCTTGAACCTGGGAGGCGGAGGTTGCAGTGAGTTGAGCCATCATGCCACGGCACTCCAGCCTGGGCAACGGAGCGAGACTCTGTCTTAAAAAACAAAAAACATTACCTATCAGGTAATATTCTTATTACTGGGTGATGAAACAATCTGTACACCAAACCCGCACAGCACACAATTTACCTATATAACAAACCTGCACGTGTACTCCTGAACCTAAATTTTTTTTTTTTAAAAAGATGGAAGTCGACTTGACCGAAGCAGTTTTAGAATAGTTATGAGGCAGAAAGACAGACTGCACTGAATGGAGAAGTAAATGGTGATGAAGAAGATGAAACACTATTCTTTCAGGTACTTTGAAAGAAAAATAAAAGAGAAGGTTATTGAATGAGGACAGTCTAAGGAAGGTTTTAATTCCAAATGAGTGTCTTATATATCACTGTATGTTTTTAAAAGCCAGTAAAGGTAGACTTTGAAGATATAAGCAAAAACTGCTGTCTTCTCCATCCAAATCTTATTTTTCCCTTCTAATTTTGTTTCTATCTCCTCTACTCCCTTCCCATGCATTTTATTAATGTTTCCTATGCATTTATCCCAAGCTAATTGATTTTGTCCTCTCCTGATACTGTTACTAATCTGTAGGGCATGGAACTTGTGACAATCACTAATGGTGAAATCGACAATAGCTATCTTTCTTGAGATCCTTATTGTGAACAGACATTTAAATTTATTTGTTTATTCCTCATGATTTTCACCAAGAAAAAGACTATCTCATCTCAACTGTGATGGATACACCTTAATGTAATAGAAGCCAGAATGCAGTCAGTTAAGCAGATGGGAGGCCAAACTGAGCTGCAATTTTAAATGCTCACCAAATTGCAAACCTGTTTGCAGGAGGAGGGAAGGTGACTGTGTTTTTGAAAAGTTGGCAGATGCTCCTTTATAATTCTTTTCCCCACTCATTGTGATGCACCAGGTGTGATCCATTCCCTACAGCCAATGTCACTTTAGAGCAAGTATAAATTAGCATATTCCTCAACATCATTTTGCTCTTGCCTCTATTCATAGAACAGAAAAGTCAAAAGACAGGGTCATCTAATGGAGAACAAGCCAAAATTCAAAGGACACTTAAAAATAAAACTTCGGAAGGAGGGGTTATGTTGGTAATGGAAATTCTGGAAACTGACATATAGCCACAGGCTTAGCAAGAAAAAAGATGGCTTTCATAAAAGATCATCTGTTGATACTTGAGCTAAGAGGTAAGTCAAGCTTTGCAATCGAAGGTGGGAGGGAACGGAGAGAGTATTTTTTACTGACAGGGATTTGAGAGTATGAGCAAGAAGTGAAAAGCTGGTTTCTTAAAAGGCGGTCTTAGAAATTATTAGATTCTTGGGTGGCCAGGAAGTGAAATCCTAGAGCTATAAGTTAGGGTTTTCACAAAAAATACTCTGAAGATTTTGTTTGCATATCATCAAAAACTGAATGGGACCTGAAGAATACATTCAAAAAAATCTCTCTTCTCCTCTTGTTCTAGTTTAAAATTACCCTTAAGACCTACTACACCTTGGCTGGCTCTTTCCTTAATAGTCAATCTCCTAATGTTATTACCACTCTGTAAAAGATATTTTCATGTTTTTCTTATGTATGTATATGCCCTTAAATAGTAAGGGTCTGGAAGTTTTTTTTGTTTGTTTGTTTGTTTATTTTTGTTTTTGTATTGTCAGTAGAAAAGACAAAAGACTCTTCCAAGGGCAGTGTGATATAGAAAAATATAATAACAATTCTTAGGGATTTATTATTTG